AGTTATGCTTCGTTAAAACTCATAAAAATAAAGATTAAAAATAGTTTTTTCAATTAGACCAGAACTTTTAAAGAATATTGCCTTCAAAAATACGTAATTCTCTTGGGAGTTATATGACATAACTCCCCAGCGAGGATAATACCTCACATTTCATGCGCAATTTTACTTTACTAGACGATTATTTCTTTTTTTCGCGACTCGCGAGACTTGCAAAACCAACGGATTTCTACGCGAGCCGAGTTTTCTGCCTTCGCACGATTCCCTCAGTTTCTCAGTTTTCCGGTGGTCGTTAGAGCAGCGACATAAGTTGAAAATCTACGAAGTTTTACGCTCGCGACGCGACATTAGGAAGTGGAAAAGCGGAATGAAAGTATTCGTAGTGGTAGTCGCAGTCGTAGGTGCTTTTCGCGTGATGCACGGCGGCGGTGGCGGCGGCGGCGGGGCTGTTAACGGGGTGAATGCGGAGACGCCGGGCCAGAGCGACTAACTTTATAACCCGCGCATTAATCTTATTTTCTTTTACGATTTATGAAATTTATCTCGAAGAAGCAGCAGCCAGCAGGCTAGGCGCTGGTGCGGGGTGGGGGCGGCGCGTGTGAATAATATACCGCTCCTGTACAAACAGACATATTTTAAATGTGAAACTTGCTGCGACAAGACGCATTTGGGGGTTTATTCGCCGGAATTCTGGAGAAAAATTTAAAATATGCACGGAAATGGTTTTTAGTTTTAATTTATTAGAACTTTATGAGGAATTAAGATATTGTTATGAATCAAAGTTTAGGTTATTAACACTTAAATTCTCTTTCGGTATATCATAAAAAAGTAATAGTTTCATAATTTTTAGTAAGCGAAATTTGATCTGAAACATTAGCAGTTTTTTTAGTACATATGTAATGCAACATGATGTATTTTTTTAAATAATTTAGTATTTGAATTGTTATTTACAAGTTTTCAACGTATTTCTTATAGCCAATAAAATTATCTACCAAATTTTATAAAAATTATAACTACACTATAATTTTATCCGAAACTACAATGATTTAAACTAAAAACTTTCAAAATTTTAATTTTGTTTTTAGTAAAATGTGCTTTTACTGCTTAATTTGTTGTTAATTCAGTCAAAAATCAAACAAAATATTTAAAATAAAAATAAAACAATAGCTAGTAACATTTTCAACAAAATACATTTATTTTCAAACAACTAATATGTCTATTTTTTATTCTACAATTAAATAAACTTTCAAGTTTGATTTAAAATCCACAAAAATCATTATGTCACAAAATTAATCATAACTAAAAATATAACAATGTCACCATAATTAATATAAATTAATCTGAATCTTGATAAAATTCTGTATCAAAATTCATTGAAACCATTTTTCTACCTCTTTTATTCCTTGAATTCAATGGCGTTGAACTTAAATCTTAAACTCGCCGATTTATTTCACCAATTCTTAACGCGCCAAGCAAACATTTTTTCATAAATAATTAATTATCCTGAATCGCGCTAATGATTTATTTGTTTCAGCGTTGACTTTTGTTTACCCATTTCGTCCGGCGTCCTTTGGCTCCTTTCACCTGCGCCCGTCCGCCATGCAGCGGGTTAATTTCGCCCTAATGACTTTTCCATTATGTCGGCTATAAATTAACGAACGCCGCCAAAGCATGCGCGTGCGCATGCTGACGAATTGAGCGAAATCATTCTTGCAGAAATTTGTCCTACTCCTGCTTTTGAATTTGCTTACTTCTTTTGAGGCCATTCAGAGGCATTATCAAAGAAATAAAAAAGGAAATGCGGTAAAGTGATAGGGGTGTTTAATTTAAGTTCGTTTTTATCGCAAATATTGTAACTATTCATCAATACACGGCATAATGGATTAATTATTAACAAAAGTTTGATTTTGTTTTGTTTTTAGTTTTTGTTATTTTATTTCTTTTTAAACATTTTTCTAAAAATCTATTTGTTTGTACTTTTGGAGCTAAATTAAAAAAAATTAATGTAAAATCAGTTTTTTCTGATAATATATTAAATAACTTATCATTTTCAAGGGCATTTAGTATATAACTATTAACCTTATATTAAATTATGAATTATTTTCTGGATTATGATTAATTTAAAAGTTATACTGAATTAAAACTTACAAAATTAAAGATTAATATTAGATTTTCCAAAACATAATACCGAAATATAAACAAACTGGTTAAATACTAAACAAAATGTGTGAAAAATTTACGAATGTAAACTAACAACATTTTTTTAAATTTTACTTATAATTTAGAACAAAATTTAAAATTTGCGATTTTTTTTCTCCCTTAACTTATTTTTGCTATAAAAATGTTCCAAAAAATTTATAAAATTTATATTTATAAAACTAGTCCTAATTGTTATTAAAAAATAAATAACTTAAAGGTTTTTGTTAAGTATCTGTTGTTTAGTAACAATTTAATTACCACAAATAAATTTCTCTTATAATTTTTTTCCACCTGAACTTTTACCAACTATAAAACTAATGCTGTACTGGCATTAAATAGTTTTAAGCGTAATATATTTAAATAGAGTCTTCAAGTCGCGTTCGCATTTGTCGTCACATTAATTCAGCTTTTTTCGCTGCGCCGCAGTTCGTGGGAGTGAGGTTGTTCGACGCGGCTCATTTACTCATTTGCTTGAGGTTCGTGCAAACGCTGCCTACCGGTATAGGTGGAGTTTTGTATATGTGCGGGTGTGGGTGTGTGTGTTGTCGAAATCGTTAAATATTCATGAGGCGACACACTTTAATTGCGATTTTATACAATCCCAGACCTGGTTAACTAATGAATTACGTCCACTTCTATTTACTTCAGCTTTTCAATTCTTTCCGCAAAGTTTTAACCTCGAATGATTACTTTTTAATAGTTTTCAGTTGCACGGTCTACTGTTGTTAATATTAATGATTTTTTTCTGTACCAGAGAAGAAATTTTAGTTTAATTTTAATTTATAAAGTAGGAAATGTTGATGTTTTTGGTTTTGGTGAGGATTAAAAATTGATTTGTTTTAGTTTTTTGTAAATTATTTTAAAAGTAAAAAAGTTAATTAATATGTCTTTAGGAATATTGATTGGGAGTAAAATTTTCTATTTTATTGATAAAAAATCGTAAAAATAGCTTTACTACATAAAAAGTTATTAATAATTAAATTTGCATATAAAGGAATATTTTTTATCCGAACAAATTTGCTTGTAACTTTTGATGGAAATTAGTTAGCGTTTAAATTATTTTATAAATCATTAGAGAATCATAGTCTTAACCAATTACTTCAAAAATCATTTACATATCTTTATATGTTTGTGAGTAATTAATTAAAAACAAAAACAAATGGTACTCATTTTCTTCCAAACGAAAGTACAAAGCAAATGTAGGTAAATAGAATTGTTTTTGCAAAATAATGGCGAATTTATTCACGATAATTGTGTTTGTTTCACTCGAATAAATTGATAATTAAATTTTCCAACTAAATAATCAAACACTGTGCCAATTAAGCAGTTCTAGAAAAAGTAATTAATAAATAAAGTTGTACTTTGCAAAATTTATTTTTCTCAAACAAAATGCTCTGTAACTTTTGATTAACAAACGATATAACAAAAATTTAAAAACAATTATGTTTAAAGTTTAATAAGAAATTAATTCTTAAATAAAATATTAAAATTAATTGTGTGGGTTTGAAATTACAAGCCAAAAATAAATTTTTTTACTTCATTTTTTCTTAACTTGTATTTTATATAATTTTTTTTATAATGTGAATTTTGTTTACTGTTTCAGGAATGAAAAGTCAAGCACAAAGAAACGCGTCCAGAGTAATTAGCGTAAATTTATGTGCCATTCTGAATCCTCGAGCGGCTCCTTCTTGCCGCCGAAGGGTGGCAGAAGCAAAGAGTGCGCGTTTTGAGAGGGTGGATGTGGAGGGCTGAAAGGGCGGCGGAGCGCGCGTGCGAGCCTCAGTATTTAGGTAAATTAATTAAGAATTACACGGTCGGCTGGCCCCGCCACTTAACTTTTAATCTACCTTCGCCGCCTCGGTGTCACCCGCGTCACCCAACACTTTCAAGACCTCTGAGACGCGCGCGAGTCACAGGACAAGTCAAGACAATGCGAAAGCTAAATCCGGCAGGGCAAAAAAACATACTTAGAAAGCCAAATCAGGTCGTTTAAATTTTTAAAGGCATTATTAAGAATACTTCTAGGTTTAATCAAGAGAGACCAAAAAATGAGATTTTTGGAGGAAATTTTAGGAAATATTTTATAAAAATAGCAATAACAAAAGAACTTTTCAAGATTTTAAAAAAATTCTTTCAAAACACTCTTTATCTTTAATTTTTTCAACCTTCCTGATAATTGCACTTTTTAAAAACGTATTAACCATAAGTTATACTAAATTAAAATAATATTTGCAAAATAATGCAAATTTATTGTAAAAATGCTCATAACTTTTTTTATATAAGAGTTATCAACAAAAAGTTTAAACAAAATCTTTAAAAAAATAAATTTTACTTTAATTACTTAAAAAATCATCTTTCTAAGTTGACTAGTTATAATGTTATTAGCCAAAAACTATAACATTATTAATGTTATAAATGTGCTGTATACCATATTATTAAAGTTTACATTTATTAATAAATTACGGCAAAGCTCTGCGCGTTATTTAAATTATTAGCACTCATATAAACTCAAAATTTAATTTTACATCTAAATCCATTTAATTTATAATTTTATCATGTTTGTATCAAAAGATATTAACAATTGAAATCAAAAACAAAATATAATTACAAAATTTTATTTAATTAAGTATAACTTATAAAATAAATTATCCATTATTTAAATATTCATATATTATACGTAGAATTTATTTACCAACAGATTACTAAAAAAATCATAAAGATATCTTCCTTGGTTTATGAGTTATAACCAAAAAACTATTAACTTTCGAAGATTTTTGCCCAAAAATGGAGCACAAAAAACTCACCTTCTTTTTCAGCTGCGGTATCAATCCGACACGAAGCCAACGCGCAGATCGCAGCAAAACAGAACACTCTTAACGTTATCATGACGTGCAGCGTGAGTTTTCCCGGATGTCAAACAGTAAACTCCTTAAGGATATTCAGGAAACAAATTTTCTCACTGGCACAGCACACAAACTCGCGCTTGCATTCCTCTTCCTCTTCCTCTAATCAACACTGTAATTTTTATCTTCTTTAATTTTCAACAGCACAATTCACAGAATCCTTGCAAAGGATAATTCTCTTATAGATAACACACAGTTCACTAATATTAACAGTTAGTTATTTGTAATCGAAGTTTTATTAATTTATTCAACACATGTAAAAATCTATTCATCACTTTCATTGATTATCCTTTCGTCCTTAAAATATTTCCTTCCTCAATGAAGAAATACACAGAACATTTGTCTCGTTGAGTATTTTTCAAGTGTTATTAACAATTAATAAATGAATATGCAAATTGTATTTGTTGTTTATTTATGAACGAAGTCCTTGTTCGTCCTGTTTGATCGTTTTTCTCAAGGAGCGCTGCACATCTCACGCAGCTGTGCAAACAGAAAATATGAGGAACGCAATTAGGAATTTAAATTATTTAAATGTTAAATAAATGGAAATTTTTGTCCTTCGTCCTTGTTCCGTGCTGTATTTTTACGTTCCCGCGGCACTTTTTATAATATATCCTTCCTATGTCTAAAGATATCAAATTTCAATTAAAATTTTTGTGTTTTTTACTTTTATTTATTTTCGTCCTTTATTTTCACCAAGAATATTTAATATTATATTTACCTTGAATATTATTTAAATTACATTTGATTTAATTTAATTCACATTTATCCTTGATGATATCCTTTGATTTTATTTGCACGTATTTATTAAGATATGATACTCGGATATGATGATGTCGTCGCGTGCGAATAAGGATTCGTAAGGATATGTGATATGCGTTCGCCTGGCGGCGGCGGCGGTGGCGGCGACGGCAGTGCGTTCAACCACGGCTAGCGTACGTCTCGGCACGGTGCGCGCGAAGTGACTGCCGTGGCGAGCCGATGCCGATGTGCTTGCCGCCACTGCCGCCGCCACCTACTCTTGTCCTAGGATACGCAATGCGCGCGCATATTATTTCCACGCTTACAATTTCAGCCTGATATCTTTAAAATTCATCAACAATCACACTTTATTTCTTTATAATTCATAACCACAAATTGACGTTTGACAGATGATGCTGTCAAAATAATGACAGATGATCAAAATTATTTGCAAACTGTCAAAATATTGACAGATCACATTGACATCTAACAAATTTAATAATATATTTAAAATTACATACAATTAAAGATTGATAGTTTAAATTAGCATGAATCTATTTGATTGATGTTGTCTTTAAGGATTCTTGTTATCCTGTGATTTCCGGTTTCTAGATTCCTGCACGCTTGGTGGCGTTGTTTACCGAGTGTTTGTAGCCCAAAGAAAAATGACAATTGATCGTCGCGTAATCGCTGGCGTTGCGGCTCACACCTTCGTTCTTTTGCCCGCCGCCGCCCTCGGAGGCGGCGAGCGAATGCAGCGCGACGCGCAAGAAAAAATAACGCCAACAGCAAACACAGGACGAGTTACGTGCATGTTTATATACGCTGGACAATAAAAGTGTCACATAAAAACGGAAAACACTCGCATGTGCACTCCAACTAACTAACTTCCCATGGCCTGCCGCCGCCGGCCGTGTTACTCCATAATTAGTGCGCTTGTAATGCATTTTGTTTAGTTACACAAGCGACGCCAAGTCAACCTAACGAGCGGAATAATTTTTTAATTTATTTTATTTTAATCATACAGGGTGATAATTTTTTTTACAAATTTTGAACATTTTGTATGCAAAAGTAAAAGATTTTTTGATTGCTTTAAATTTTAGCAAAAGAAATTACCATTTGTGTAAAATTACAATTTTTGCAAATATTTTCAATATCACTTCGCGCACTTGTGCATAAAATGCATTTTTACGCACTCAAAACAAAGAAAATGTGATGTTGTACACCGCGATCAATTTTTTTCGAGTTGAGGCAGACTGTATAAAAATAAGTTGTCCTCATTGATTCATACCGTGTTGTTCGCGCGCGGTTTGGAGGCGGCACGACGTATGGAGAGTGCATTAAAGCAATTACTTTAATTCCCATCCATTTACGAGCCACCCGTAATCGTAATGCAGCATTGGCATGCAAATGTACATTGCGCGGGCGTCGGGGGACGGCGGTGGCGGGTGCCTTGTTTTCCGGCCGCCTCCAAGTGCTCGCAGCCGCCGTGTGAAACCGGATCGCGCCGTCCCGCTGATAGCATGCGCCTTAACCGGTCATTACTACGATTTTACGATTAATTTTCAAATTTAACTAATAAACGTACAAATAACCTCAAAATTCTAGTGTTGGTGATGTTGAAAACTATTAGATGTGTTGTTAAAGTTAAGAAGTTGTAAATTAATTATGGTTTAGTCAAAGTAATAGTTTTCAGCAATATATGAAAATTACAAGCTTGCATGTTGTATTATATATTATATATATTACGTATTCAGGGCACCGTACGAGGGTAGCGAGAGAAATGACTCGTGTTCAGGACACCGTAGAAGAGCAGCGGTAGAAGAGACTCGTATTCAGGGCACCGTACGAGGGTAGCGGTAGAAATGACTCCCGTTCAGAGCACCGTAGAAGAGCAGCGGTAGAAGTGACTCGTATTCAGGGTACCGTTTGAGGGTAGCAGTAGAAGTGACTCCCGTTCAGAGCACCGTACAAGGGTAGCGGTAGAAGTTACTCGTGTTCAGGGCACCGTACAAGAGCAGCGGTATAAATGACTCGTATTTATGGTACCGTACGATGGCAGCGGTAGAAGTGACTTGCATTCAGGGCACCGTAGGAGGGTAGCGGTAGAAGTGACTCGTGTTCAGAGCACCGTACGTGGATGATTGTATAGCTGACTCCCATTTGCACACTTTTTCTTATGAATTAAAATTTCAATTCATAAATTTCTAAATTTTATAGAAAATTGTCCGTAGATAAAGACTTTGCGATTCGTTCTAGACTCTTGACAATGTGTTAATTTTGGGTAAAAGATGATCATGGAAGGAAATATCACTTTGCCAGAAAAACAAATCATATATCTTGTACCAATGGAGTAAACATCTTGTACTCATATAATACTTAAAAGTTTCTTAATAACTTACGCATTTTCTCGACCCTTTCAACTTTCTACAAGTGTTCTAAAAATGACTTACAAAGCGACATTTTTCAAAAAGTTTCTTTAGATAACAACTTGTATCTCGTGAACTGATACACATTTTGTGCGTTTCTAAAGTTCATGTATAGTTTAAGAGACGCTCTACATGTTAATTGACAATATGTACTGCATACAAAAGTGGAAACACGTGGGAACATTAATTATTTATTATAATAGTCCAAATTATGGGACTAGTGTCTGTCGCATTCATAGATGGCACTAGGATGCACTAAAAATCATAAAATCGAGTTATACGGCTTATTTTTATATTTATCTACAAACGTGGGCACGAGAATAGTTTTGTATACAATACTGTTATCTGCGATTCGGTGTAAACAACGTTTTTAACGCATGTGTCTCCGGGCGCTGTCTCCTAGCGCCACATCAACTTGCTGCATGCAGCGAAGTCTAGTTTTGTTTAGATCACAGGTAATGTGCCTATTGCAAACTCGCGCACACGGTCGCGTGCCTTCGACGCGCCGTCCTTGCGAACCTCTTGCTTTCTTATCATATACTGTCCCGTCGTTGTTTACGCAGTTTCGGCACGCACTATCGGTGGATAGCAGCCAGTTTTGTGCCGGTCGCTGGTTAATCCAGTCGTGTTTTGAGAGACTTGTATCGTTTATTCTGACTTCAATATTCTATATTTGTGTCACACTCGACGATCAATCGACTATTTATTTCTACTTTGCGACTATAATAAGTCTCGTGATAGTGAATTTGATTACATTCTTCACTCGGCGTTGTGTTTGGTGTCGGTTACTAAATTAATCGGATATATGTCGTCCCCATGTTGCTTCTCATCATTAAGAAAGATCCATCAGGCTCGTGTAAGTATTTTTTAACTAAGCAGCACGGATTGTTTATTTTGTGTTGATTGCTAATTATATCATAATTCAATTGTATGAAAGATTTTTGTTTTAATTTATGTTCTCGTTTAGTTACAGCACTCGTTGTGCCTGGCAGTCCGATAAGCTGTACACTGGTAAGTTTATAATTCAATTATATTTTTCGGTCAAATTTACATTTGCTGTTTATATTCAAGTTTTTTATTTATCACGTACTACCTACCTGTGACATAAATTAAATGAGCGGCACGGTCGGACACAATTAGAAGATATTCGCAATTCAAAAAAGGGCAAAAAAAGAAAAATTGCACATTTAGTCACGTTTTTGGTCCTTTTATCCCACGAAAATAAATTATTTTAAATTCGTATCTAATGCAGAATTTTTCTATTTTTCATTACTTGTAATCCGTTGGTCGCTATCGGTTTTAGTTTAAGAGATATGAATTTTTGAAAATCGTCGAAAAAAAGTATCAAGCACCCCCCCTTGGCAATGTATTTCTTAAAACTTAAAATTTTGTCTCTCAAATTTCCCTTTTAACTATCCTATCTGATAGAGAATAGTCCGGAGATTAAGACGCTGCGATCAGATCTTATTTATCTCTTTTAGATTAAGAGATATTCGCGTTTGAATAAAATGGGCAAAATATGCAAAATGTCACTTTTTAGCACTTTAGTCGCGTTTTTCGACCTTTTACTGTAGGGAATATAATTATTTTATATTTTGATCTGATAGAGAATTTTCCAATCTTTCATAATCAATGATTCGTTGGCAGCTATCGCTTTTAGTTTAAGAGATATTAATTATCAAAAATCGTCGAAAAAAAGTATCAAGCACCCCCCCTTTGGCAATTTTTTCTTAAGACTTAAAATTTTGTCTCTCAAATTTCCGTTTTATCTATCCTATCTGATAGAAAATAGTCCGTAGATTAAGACGCTTCGATCAGATCTTAATTATCTCTTTTAGTTTACGAGATATTCGCGATTGAAAAAAAAATCCCCATTTTCCCTTTTGAATTATTTTTTTCAGATGGTTTTGTTATGCTGCTGTTTGTTTTCAGATATTTGGTAACACTATTTTAATTTATTTTCTGAAATTAACATTCTGTTTTATACCTAATGCGACTACCCTTAAAACTGCTTAGAACTTCTTCAAAAACGCCATGAAAAGAATACAAATTTCTATCAATAATTTTTGTTGCAGTTATGGTTTGATATTCAATTGACTGACTCCTATGATGGATCCACTTTCGATGTATGTGAATAATCATATATGATTTAGAATAGCTTGCTGAAGTCTGATATAATGAGAAGCTGGGGACTGTCTCTTTTTTATGTTGAAAATTAATAGTTTGAATTTTTAAATTCTGTTTGCAAATTCTGATAGATAATTTAATTCTACAATGATTATTTAAGTAACTTTTTTTACTAACATTAACCGCTTAAGCCCTATTTACAAAATTAAATGAAAACAACATTTGACATAAAAAAGACAGAAATCTTTTGCTTTTTTATGATGAAATCTTTTTTCAGCAAATACCACTTTTGAAATAATTGGAATTTTGAAATTTTGATTCTGATTTGACACTCGCTTGCTTAAACGCTCACTACGCTCGCTCTCAATCAATTTGGTGAGTAAAGTCCCTGTTTAGCCACTTAATTCTTAAAATACTATTAGTCATATTTTTTATTCTAGTGCGTAAAAAATTACAAATAATCTTGTAATTAAAAAAATAGTCTAATGTATTCATTACACCTAGAGTTTATATTTTGTTTATTCTATTTTTTGTCCTGTTTTTCCTGTATACCTGTTTGTTTTCCTTTGATTGAATTCCAGTCGGCCGCAGAAAAGAATGGGTCATTAATTAACGCGGTATTTATAACAAAACACATAAATTTCAATATGTAAGTCCCGACTGGCGGGCGGGCGGCCCCCGGAGGCGGCGGATTGAAAAGTGCGAAGGATACGCGCGCCGCCGACGATTCTACAGGACGATAAATTAGAGCCGCATAAACCGGGCGCGTAATTCAGTTAGCCGATCGCACGTCCATCCTGCACGCATCGGCCCACATCAATCTGGATTAACTTTGCATCCTTTGCACCTACGCGCCGACCGTGCAAAGGACGAGATGATCTCACACACTAACAATAATCAAACAATACCAATATATCTCCAAAATAAAATAAAATAAAATAAACACATTGTATATTTTATTATTTTAACATTATTTTTTATAGAAATTTGATATTTTTAAAGTTATTTATATACAGAATGTTTAGTTTTGTCAAAAATAAATATTGATGCAATTTAACACATTGTATATTTTATTTTTTAACAAAATTTTGACATTTTTTTATTGTTTTGTAGTTATTTATGTACAGTGTAGTTTGGTCAAAAATAAATATTGATGGCATTAAACACATTGTATATTTAATTTTTTAACAAAATTTTGACATTTTTTTATTGTTTTGTAGTTATTTATATACAGTATGTTTAGTTTGGTCAAAAATAAATAATGATGGCATTAAACACATTGTATATTTAATTTTTTTAACAAAATTTTGACATTTTTTTATTGTTTTGTAGTTATTTATGTACAGTGTGTTTAGTTTGGTCAAAAATAAATAATGATGGCATTAAACACATTGTATATTCAATTTTTTAACAAAATTTTGAATTTTTTTTATTGTTTTGTAGTTATTTATATACAATGTGTTTAGTTTTGTGTAAAAATAAATCCCAAGGATAGCCGGTGTTTTGTAATTTGTTTGAAAGCTAAAAACACGTTTTTTAATGCTCAGGAGTTTAAAACTTTTTTCCTCGTCCTTTTTTTGTCCTTGTTAGCCCGCTTTTGTCTTTCGCCGACGCTCGCAGACATAAAGCATTTAATCGTTTAACTGAAGGACCGAACGACTCTTGTTCTTTTTATTATTTTTATATATTCGCTGTGTTTTTTTGACGTCATCCTTTTCGTCCTGATGTCCTGACGTTTGCGCGGAGCAATTGCACATAAAAACTCCGCTTTTTATTTCATTAGAAAGGCATCAAGATATCAAACTTATTAGGACTTATTACGTTTTATCGCCCCTGGACGTTTTCGTCCTTTTATCGACGACGATGAATTTCGAGGTCTGACTCGCAGGATAATTGCGATTGTCGTCGGCGAGACGATGCAGACAGTGATATTAAACTTTTACCGTAAGCATGAATACTGAAAAAGAAAACTTTTGCGAAATGTAAAAAATGTGAATTGTGAAAAAATACAAAATGGCGGATAGTTGGAAAAAGTCATGAGGATGAGGGGTGGGAAAAAAACCGGTATGAGAGGAATGGCCATGAGGGGAAACGCTTTTTGTGTCTATTATGTGACCCTTTGGTGAATTATTACGAGCCGAGTCCTTTAGTTTTCCAGTTTTCCTGGCCAGTTTTGCCGGCGACGCCGAGAAGTCCGCGTGAACTGTAGCCAAGCAAAGCGCAAATAAATTTGTTTTACTGCTGCACAGCGCATCACAAATTTAAGCTTTTTCAACCACCCAATGTTTAAAATGATTTTTTTCTACTAAATTAACTTTGAACACATTGTATATACAAATATAAAATTATATTTTAAGCACTTGTACTTAAATTACAATTGTTAGACAGTCAAAAAACAAGAAACACATTTTTTCTGCGTGCGTAAAGTTGGACTTTTCCGCACAAGTGCGTAAAATTACATTTTGCACTCTCACATATAAAAATGTAATAAACATTTCTTTTTTAATTATCACTAACTATTTACATAATAAATTATAAAAACTTGAATTGTCGATTTTTTTAATAATTAACTTTAACCACATTGTATATTTACAACAGCAGTGTTTTGAAGATGTTGCACCATTTATTTACCATTTGCATAGTTTGCCTTCACGAAGCTGCAAGTTGCAAGCAGGCGGCAGCGGCGGCGGCGGCGAGATTGCGCCGACAAGGACGTGCGCCGAAAGGACTTTTCCAGGACAAAGCCGCCTCGATGCAGCTTGATGCGGCCATTAAAATTCAATAAAACGGTCGCGGGACGCGCGCCAGCTCGCTGAAGCCATTGCCGCCGCCGCTGCCGCCCCAAACTACTCACACCCACAAATGCAGCTCCCGCGCCTCGCGTTTATTAAAACGACGCACGATGGATGCACTCATTACTTATTTTTTAGTCAAGGGTCATAAAACACATTGTATATGAACCATTAACATCGGCCATAAAAATACAAACTAACGTATCTACTCTACGGCCGAGTACTAAAAAGTAACTAAAACATTATAATCACAATATAATATTTATTTCATAAATTTAAATGCAATTTTATTTGATTTTGTTTGTATGTGTTCGTTTTACGACTTAACCAGATAACCAATCATGGTAAATTTTGGTAGAGTTACAGATTGGACTATGGAAAATAACATAGACTACTTTTTATCCTAAAAATAATATTTTAAGCGTGTAAAATAAGGGATGAAAGTTTAATTTTTATTTATAAGTAATATTTGAGGTTATTCTATCAAAACACATTGTATATTTGTGTAATTACAAACGTAATTGTCAAAAGAGAGTAAAATGACAGGCGTGTCGCTGATTAACGCACAATTTGCCTCGATGCCAATTAATAATCAACGCGTAATTCCAGGGCGGCAAACGATGGTAGTAAAATTAGTCACGCGCAAACATCCCAATCGCAGACCAAATAACTAAATTGCAATTTGAATAACAAATAATGCAATAAAACTATTTATACCCTCAAAATTTAGGGGTAGTTTTATTTAACCGAGGGTAGTTTGCGCAGGTTCACAATAATCCACGCATTGATTCCGAATGATTTCAAGGGTGAGTAAGTTTGGAATGTGTTTAGGCTCAAGGATTGCCGCAAAAGGGATGATTTCACCCATATTCGAAGCCCATCGATATTTAGGGTGTATTTAGGGGTCACTTACCCCAAAACGCTCCCTAATCCCTCAACACTAAAAAAATATCATACGTTTACCCAAGTGTGTGAAATGACCACTCCACAGGAAAACTACCCCTGAATATACAGTGTGTTCGGAGTTATGTAAGACAAAAGTTTGTATTGATTCACTAGCTTTAACCCGCGGCTTCGCTCGCGAATATCTAAAATAATGAAGTTGCTTCCGTACGCGTCTGTAGTCACAGAAGAAGTAACAATGAAGTAGAATGGCGGGAAGTTTAAAATGGCTGAAAGTATAGTCTATGGAAGTATAGTGTACAGCCTCCATAGTGTAGTCAATTGGATTTGATGTTGACGTAGCTGTCGGTAATACAGTGTGATAATACAGTGTGATGGTACTATAGTACCTTAGGTTTGAGCTTTATTGCTGGAATGCTAGATGGCGTTAAAGTAGTCAAATAGCCAGATGCAGAGGTATCATTGGCTAAACAATTTCTTTATTTTATTTAAAAAATCATTTTTTTTATTAAATAAAAAGTAGTCTATAACCATTCGGGGACCATTAAGAATATGTGTACAAATTTTCATGATGATCGGTTAAGTAGTTTTTGCGTGAAAGTGTAACAAACATCAGGACTTTCGCATTTATAATATTATAGTAGGGATTACTGTCTGGATTGTAATTGAGTATAGTATTTCAATTTTCTTTGGAAAGTTTAATTATACGTTTCCACTCGATTGCATTCCAAGAGGGGGATGATTCCACCCCCAACCCTCCACCTCCTTGGATTGCGATTGCAATCCGTCTTATTCGGCGCGCATCGTTAGAGTGCATCCGCGACGAGTATCGGTTGCATCATTATTGCATTAACTCAGTTGCGAGGACACAATATTATCTTTGTTTCCATCTCCATCTTGGTCCTGCGTCTTCGTCCTGCGTCCTTCGTTTCGGGCGTATTGTGGTTGCATCCGGGATAACTTTCCCTTCGACATCTTCATCGATAGCATTTGTGGGTGGAAGGCATTGGGTTGGAAGGGTAAGGGTGCTTTAGCTGCATTAGGGGTTGTGCATTGGGGGTGGCGTAATCAAGGCGAATGTAACGCGACCGCAACATAGGCGTTATTACTGCAACGGTTTGCAATGCTGCGGCGATAAACTCGAGTGTGGACATAATAGGGGTGGCTGCTGCAAAGGGGCGCGACGCACCCTTCCAATGGTCATAATTCTTTATAAACCAAGCGTAAAAACCAGATAAACACAATAAATATAAAACTGCACTGATTTAACGCGATGATTTGATGCTTTACTACAACTGAATTAAATTCACGGCTATTTGTTGCCTAGAGATGGCGTTAGTTGTGCACTGCAATAAAATCTAGTAATTGTATTCGCGGCGACATCTGGTGGCAATTTAAACAATTTGATGTGCGTCGTTTAATCCCTCCAGCATAATTACGCCGATGATTTGGTCGTTTTTCGCTACGGCGGCGGCGGTGAAATAAGAATTAAGAATTAAGGCGTCGTAAAATCAAAATTATGGCCCGCGGAGAAGACGCGAGCGAGCGTCCATAATAAAAAAGTTTCAACTAGCTGCTTGGAGTCGCGGGTTGCGTTGGGGGAGAGGCTGGTGAAAGTTTTTTTATTGCGCGCCATTCGACGACAGCGCGAGCGCGCAGGCAACCAAGCGAGCATGAAAGAGGAGTCGTTTTTCGAGCATCCGCCCGAGCGAGTTTTATAACTTTTAATTGCTCACTTGTCTTTTTTATATTATAATATAATATTATATTAGTTTACGAGTTTGGCGGTGGGTGGCGGAGCGCATGGTGCAACCGCTACGAAAATGCGGAAGAATAGCGTCGTAAAAATATTAATCAAGTCGAATATTGCATTAACGGCTTAATTCTTACGCGCTTTAGAAGTTTTACTAAGTTTTTACAAGTTTTTGATTTTATATGAAGCCGGATGTATATTTTCAAATAAAATCGTTGATTTATTGACTTTTGTTGATGTATTTAGCACGTAGATGTCAATTCTGAATAGTGTCTATTGATTAAACTATAAATAGTTAGTTCTCATCTTTAAACCAATAAATTCTACGTTTCAGAAACAGTTTGAATTTCTTTATAACTACAAGTGATTTGAATATTAGTTGCTGAATTGACTCCGTCAGTACTTTTTAGTTTTGCACGCCGTCGCCTGGGGGCGCTGCGAATGGTAATGGCCGTAGTGATGGCTTTTGCACGTTTCCTGTTAACCGTGGTGTCTTTTATAATTTTCTTTGTGTTACTGAGCATCTTTTCATTTGAGTTCTGCGTTTTAAAATGTAAATAAGATTACTTTTCAAACCGTTAATGCTGCAAGTATGTTAACTGTGCGTTACATTCGCATTCAAGGTCGTACGACTCAGCAAAACTGCATACGGTGTGCACCATGCGGTATTCGTATTCGTATTGGCGTCTAGCGTGTTCTTTCGTATGAGGTTTGGTATTTCGACTTAAATATCGTTGTTAATCGTTGCATATCACATATAAAGTGCTAAATGTGTTGTTTAGAATTCGAAGAAGTATAACTGGTAAATACTGCATTCTTATTTTCATGATTTTTGATGATTTTGGCGTTTGAATGTGAATAGGTTATGTAATATTAACCGACATTTATACAGAATTTCCAGTTGGAAATCATGTGATGCATAATTAAAGTTATCGAGTGTTAATGGATGTTTGTAACAAACCTCTGAGTTATTACTTAGTGGTGAACCGTAAGTTAAGTGCATTGTTACTACGGAGAATCAGTTTGAACCTGCAAGTGATTAAATGTTATACTAGTTCTAATCAACCTTCAGGTAATACATTGTTTCTGTCTATATGAATTTATATATTTCAGTCAAATCTAACTGATATTCTTATGTTTTAGTGTCAAGAATTATCCACAACCTGTCAGTGAAGTCTACTTGTGATTCAAAAATGAGACAATTAGGAGCAGTTGTTTTATAAAGTTCTGTAATGAAGAAATTATGCAGAATGCAATTATTTTGAGTGACTTCAGCGTGAATAGCCGTGGGAAATGTACAACGCTGCATTATTCAGTTATTTTAATGGTAAAGTGTTGCATCTTTGGTGCATTTACAGCTGGATGCTATTTTAAATAGCAAAAATCGTCTCAGAGTGTAACTTTATTAGTTAATGACTTCTTAAGAAGTTGCCTACACAAACATCTTATTTATAAAGATGTTATTGATATTTATGTTGTGATTGTTTTCATGTTTTCTAAGTGATGATAAAGTTTTGGTTTAGTGTTCAGCCCCCGCAGACAACCGAATCGTTTTGCCAGACCAGGCTGTTGATTCAATTATCGGCGAGACTTCGACACTTTGTCGCTTATTATTTGCTCAGTTTGCGCCCGAACTTGATCCTCGGATTTTTATTCCCTATCTGTTTTTGTGCGTGTGTCGTATTTCGGCGACTCTCGCAGTGGTAATATAAAAAGAGAACTTTTTTTTAGGTCACACATCAACGAGTGAGTGTATATTTCTATCCAAACACATTAGAGTATTAGGAAAGCAAAGAAACTAAGCCAATAGAGCGTAGTATATCGTGACGAAAGTAAAAGTATCGAAAGCGGACAAAAAATGGATGGTAGACATACAGTGTGCAAAAAGTGACACTTAATCTTATCACACTTTTCATTACGGAGCGTTTTTTTCTTTGAGTTGCTCAGGTTTATTTATGTGAATACTTACATTTGCCTTTTTGTAAGTTTAACAACATTGAGCGACGTTTAAACTATCGTATTTTAAAACTTCGAACTTTGTTCGCATACTACAGGGAAATGTAAGGTTATAAATACATGGGAGTAAGTTTTACTCACGGTCCTGGCCGGTGGTGACTAAAGTACTACTTTTCGGGCCACGAAACCATGGAAAAAGTGACGCTTTAAAGGTGAAAGTAGGAAAACTGTTTTAACAATCAGTTCTGTAGATTTTCAAGGCACAAACTACTAATTGTCTAATTGAGCTGATACTATTAAGATCCAATTCAAATTATTGATTTTTTCAAGTGTTTAAAAGTATTATTCTACGCATTCCGTAGCCTTCTCTTCATTTGTTTACTTAAAAATAAGTTATTTTATTAAAATCGCCTGAAAAAAATATTATACAATAATACCAGAAAGAATAACAAGAAAAACCAGAAATTATATGAGAAAAGATGAAAACCTTATTTGACCAGTAATATATCTACTTATGATACTTTTTTTATACGTTGGTTATATTGAAATAAGTTTAGTTACAGTCAAAGCAAACTCAAATGAAAACAGAATACTCTGAAGTATCTTAACACAAAAAAAAAAACATCCCTCATCTTTTTTTGCTTGTCGTCTGAAAAAATAAAAGACTGTATATTTAAACGTCATTCAACGTTAACGCAAACGAGATTGTTAGAGAGATGTGAGGAGACTATTCGAGATCGGCAAGCAAATATCGAAAACACATTCGCGTGTTTGAATGTTTGCACGTTTGAACGTCGTGCCGGCCGTGCGTCGGAATGGTGTTTGAATGTTTGAAAAGATGCAAACAGTCGAATATATCGATATTTGCGTCCGTCGACGTTCGCCGACAGTCTAGACTCGCGACACAAAAAAACATAAACTGATGTATCTGGTAAATAGCAAAGCAAAGGAATAAAACACACATTGAAGGGATGGGATACTAAAGACATACTAAAATACTAAAAGAAGGACGCAAAGGAAGATGAAGTATAAAAATAAAATAGGGCTTTGAAAAAATGTATGAAACGGTAAAGCGATATGTATTGTATATTGCTGATGATTTTTGGTGCTTTGTTTGCCTTGTGCTTGAAGTGGTTTTTGTTGGTTAGAAAATGTTTATAAATTAGGTGAATTCCGACGTGTTCGGTTTGGGCTTTGATGTGTTCAAAGTGAAGCACAGATCGATTGCTTTGTAAATACGGCGACGCTTTTGTTTTCTTGTTTGTTCGAATCGATTCGAGCGAGTCAACAGCGAAATTACATTGTTAAAGTGCGTTATTATTTTTTAAAGTAGGTTGTGACGCTTTGTTACATTTATTTAAATTAATTATTAAAATGTTGCAATGGACACATTGTAGGTATATCAAAACTCATATTTTTATTTCAAAACTAGCTGTTGCCCGCGACTTCGTTGCGGCAGTGTTTAATAAAAATGTAATTCGTTTTTATTCTCTTGTTCTAGACATACTCGTAGTAAGAGTCAATTCTATCAATAAGATTAGCAATTTTAATTTAAAGAAATTATGCATATAAAGTTTTGTCAATAATGCACTTCAGCGCGCCATCTCGAATTCAACTATTTAACTATAACTATGATTGAATCTCAATGTCAAATTTTATTCTATAGAAAAGAGCTGTTTTGAGGATTTTCCCGGCAATTATTCGAATTTTTCTCACCTTTTAAACCTTCCCTAGACCTCCACGAATAATTCAAGACAAAGATAAGATAAATCCGATCAGCCGTTCTCGAGTTTTAGCGAGACTAACGAACAGCAATTCATTTATATATATAGATATACGAGTAAATTTCAGTACTGTATTAGTAACGTCATATCCGGAAACTATCGGAAACTATTTGAACTCAATTGCCGATCAGAAGTAAAATTATGACTTTCGTGTTTAATCTGTTATTTAATACACTTGAGTAATAATTTTTGATGTTTGAATAGTTTTTCTGCTATTTGAAGTGAAGACAAATTCAATAAATCTTAGATTATCAAAATCTATCCAGCCACTCATGAGTTATAAATGCTGTAACTAAGATTTTTGTGAAAATTAGTCACTCCAAAATCTCTTTTTTTCGTTTTGCCTCGAAACGCCCTTTTAATTCATGAAAAGACGCACAAAAAGTTAAAAATTTTGTGACTTACAACTTCTATTTTGAGAATAGTTTCATGCCCTTGCTTGAATTTTTCTTTTTCGATCACAAACATGCCAAATACTATTTTTCTTTAAAAATAATACAAGTACAGATTACAAGTACACCAATGTTTTGCCTCTGAGGTCAAGTAAGTCCATTGGCCGGCTGAAAATAAAGATGAAGTGTCCTTTGCGCCTCAGCCCGACAAGCACACACATGTGATGATGCGCTGTGGCGCACAAGAAGTGGAAGAAAAATGTGTACATGCGCCGAAAGCGTGTAACGAAATGCCACTCGAACGCGAGCGTGGCGACCTCTCCACACGACATTAGAACCACTTTAGGGTTTTGTGCTTTTCACACTTTTTCCGAGCGTCACTAAGCTGCAACACCACCACAAGCTTTTCTCTTACACATCTATAACATCTTAAAAATATTCCGCGCAAAAAAAATAGATTAAGATGAGATAGTTTGCTGAACATGCGAAGCATTAAAAGTTGTTGCTGCATTTATGCGTTCAGATAACTTAAAAGTGCTTTGGTGAAATATGATGATTACACGTTTTAATATCCGCTGCGCCGTTGGTTTTTGTTTTAATTTTAATTAAACGTTTCTTTTGTCGCGTAGCCAGAAAAAAGTAGGTGTATAACACAAGATTAATTGTTCACATTTCCTAAATTTTCTCATTTCATTGCATTTTTTACGTTATAACTTCTTAGGCTTGGGAAATATTAATTTCAAGGTGGATTTATAGTTTATTTTAATGATTTTTGAAGAAGAAAATAATAAATTTATAAAAACGAGTTTTTTACTAATTTTAGTTTGAATTATCATTTTGTTTTTACTTGGATTTCTATTTATTTAAAAGAATATAAAAGAAAAATAGGAAAAAGTAAAGTTAATCTCATTGGGTTTCGATGAAACCTAAAATCCTTGAAGTTTTACTCTAAACTTCACTAAAATATGAAAGTGAAAAATAATCTGTTAATTAAAGAACCCTCAAGATTTTTATTCGACGCTGAAGATATGTTTGCAGTATTCATTTAATTATTTCGGGCCGCAAAGTGCAACTAGCAGACGCAAAGTGTAGCATTACGTTACGTAACATTAGATTAAAAGGGCGCTCGCGTTGTTTCGGCCGCATTTGTTTTATTGTCTTCTCGTCCGTTTTATTTCCGCCTTCGGAGCAAGCGCGACCGAGGAAAAAAGTAGTTTCCCTCGGATGCATCCCGTGAAAAGTAGGAATTACCGTCCGGCCAAGAAACACATTTAAACAGATGGTCGCCCCGCGCGGAAGAATTATGCCCGCGCGTGGAGGCGGCAGGCCGGACGGCGATCTCTTTACGACGCCACTTTCCGTCTTAAGCGGCGAACGCATCAGTAAAACTGCAACAAGCAAACGGCAATGGGGAGGGACGGCGCGTGTATGGCGTGGCGGCGGAGGAAATGAAGACGGAATTTTCTCCTGAGGCATCAAATAAATAAAAGTGCGCGCGGTGAGTGCACGAGCACAGAAAATGTTTCCACTTAAAAAACACTTTTCTGACGCAAAAGCAGCGACGGGGGCGGCGGATAGTTTTGGGATGTGTGAATAAAGCAGCGGAAAGTGCGCACAAATATATTTACGAAATTTAAGCATAATATCATGAATAGTTTTGGAGATATTTTCAAATTCATCAGAAAATAAAACAAAAAATTACAGATTTTTAACTAAAAACAAAAAATATATTGAATTAATTTAAAATTTAAATATAATTAGCAGGAATCTGCCGGTTTTAGAATCGCCGCGCAAATAAACCGCCAATTTGTTGTAAAACCAGTTGCTGCTGGTTACTCGGTTACTAGCAAATTCTATTTGACGATAGATTAGGCCAAAGCGCACCAACGAGCCACCCCACGCTGGGTGTGATGGTTGCATGGGACGGGATGGCAACCTACGCCGAAATGCACCGGCTCCAATCGATACACTCTGCCAGCGGAGGACATGTGCACGTCCGGCGGGGTGCACGCAACACGAAACGCAACACCGTTACGCGCCGAGGGGGGCGGCTGTAGACAAGCCGCGTCGCTGCAGTGGCGTCGGCGGCGAAGGCCCTCTAATTGTCAGAATTAATCGGTAAACACAGGGCAAACGACGTGCGTGTCGATATGCAAATAGCCCTCCCGAATTACAACCCTCATCTGTGCACCATCTCCCGTTCTAAAATAGATAAAGGACGAAAAAATATATTAATGGGTGTAATAATTCAAGTTTTTTTCCGAAATGTCCTTTGGAAACGCGCGCGTTTGAAAATAGTAAATCATAATAAATATGAAATTTCATCGGCGATTGAATTCGGGACAACGCAGAACTATCACTGGGATCATCCAGGACTATTCAGGACAATGCGATCACATACATCAACGTTGTAGTCATCGCGTTTCCTTCCGGCAATAATTTTTATAATTTTCATGCATATTGTGATCACGTACTCGTACCCCAACCACATGCTACTCAAACATACAGTATGTTCACATATAAAAAATATTTTAATCTTTGGTAGAATTCTCAAAATTTTAATTTGAAATATTTTGTAAATTTCCAATTGTGTGTCAGAGGGTTAGGGCGCCGATAAAGATAACGTTTACGATTCGACGTGCACATCGCGTCCGCACGTCCGCGTCGTATAATGGCTTATTGAGTTATCATAGAGCGCCCGCCATGCATAGCTATAGGCCACCAAACATGCACGTTTAACCGCACCGAGCGTACACCTGGCCGTCTACCTGCGCGGCGAACAAATTATTGTTATCCAACATCTTCATCGACGGCAGTGGTGGCGGCGGCGGTTTTATCACGCCTGGAATAATAATAAACCAGCTCGTATTGCGCCATCCGGTTTAATAATAAACGCGTGGTTAATATCCAATCTCGCTTATAGATGCCAACAAGAGATAAACAAATGTTTCATTATAGAAACAACATCAAAATGCAATCGTAAACTAAATTGTTTACATTGACACTAAAGTAAAATCTCTAGGTCGTTTTAGCTGTATAAATCACAAGTGAATTATGAAAAGAAATTAGTTTTATTGTCATGTATTTTAAGGATTTAATTTTCATTTGATTTGATTTCTTCTTTTGTTTCTTTCTTGGCTCTACACTGTTTTTTCACTGATTTCGTATCTTCTTCCTTAGTTTCGTCCTTTTTGCAGAATAATCTCTGTGGTAGATTTACAAAAAAAGCAAAGGACGAGATTATCCAGTTGTTCCACTTGTTCTTAAAGCAGTTTGCATTGTCGCGTATTGATGGCGCCTTTTGACACAGTTTTAATTGCGCCAACTAAAAATTAAACAATTTCATTTTCAATACAATTTATTAAAGGTATGTGTGGGTTGGTGTTGGTATTGCGCATCTGGTTCAATTATTATTATCTTGCTTCAACGTCGATTTTAATTAATATTCTAATATTTGGTTAACCGAGCCGAAATTATTTATTAAACATAAAACAGATGAAATACCTCTAGCGGCGTAGCGCTCTCGCATGGCTAGGCGTAATTTAATTTAACTTTTATATCGTTGCGAAGCGTCGGCCGTCCGCCCAAATTAGTAATCAATGAAAACCAAAATTATTTCAATCAGCAAAACAATTCGTTTTGGCCCGATGACCGCAGACGTAAATTTCGCCGGTGGTCCAACCTCCGTTTGACCATTTAATTGGTATTTATAATATTTAATAATTTAATACACTCTGAGTTTGTAATTTTAAAAGTATGTACGTATTTAACATATCTTTATCTCATCGCATTTTAACTGCTTATCGAAATTTTGACCATACATAAAATTATAATCAACTAGCTTTAATCCGCGGCTTCGCTTGCGAATATCTAAAATAATGAAGTTGTTTCCGTACACGTCTGTAGTCACAGAAGAAGTAACAATTAAGTAGAAGTTTAAAATGGCTGAAAGTATAGTCTATGGAAGTATAGTGTACAGTTTCCATAGTGTAGTCAATTGGATTTGATGTTGACGTAGCTGTCGGTAATACAGTGTGATAATACAGTGTGATGGTACTATAGTACTTAGGTTTGAGCTTCATTGCCGGAATGCTAGATGGCGTTAAATTAATCAATTAGCCAGATGCAGAGGTATCAATGGCTAAACAATTTCTTTTTTTTATTTAAAAAAATATTTTTTTTATTAAAAGAAAAGTAGCCTATAACCATTCGTGGACCTCTAAGATTATGTGTACAAATTTTCATGATGATCGGTTAAGTAGTTTTTGTGTGAAAGTGTAACAAACATCAGGACTTTCGCATTTTTAATATTAGTAGGGATTTTTTTGCTTACAATCGCGTCCTCGGAAATCAACGCATCGCTGTTTCCGTCCATCGCCATTTGTTTACTACGATAAGCGAAAACATCGCAAGTTTGATTAAAAATCGCTTGTTGATCACGCGCTTTCTGCATAAGTTTGTCTATTTCTTCCTGATCCGGTTTGTACGCGTATTTGCAGAGATCTATGTAGAGTTGTTCGGTTTCGTCTGGTTTACCCCACAACCCTTGGGGTAAACAAATTAGTCAAAAGTTTATAATTTATTAGCACGCAAAATTTCGGTGTGAAATACTACATACCGATTCCATATGTCCAATAGATTAAGCCTCCGGCAAGTGCACCCTTAACGCCAAACCCCAATAATCGGCCTAGTGAGGCCCACAGTCCGGTATTTTTCGCTCGTTTTGTGGGACAAGCACAGAGTTTCGGTGGACACATTCGTTTTAAGTCTGCGCCGGTGCAAACGCGGATTTTTTTGGGATTTGCTTTTTAAGTGCTATAAATTTTGCTAATTAATAATATAAGAAATATAAAAGAATAATTGTGACTCTTACGTGTTATATAACATGTCTTTGGAAGCTTTGATTTTGCCACACATAGATTACTTTTATCATAAACCAGTAGATTCTGTTTGCGAACGCATCTTGCTTTTGAGGCTTCAGTGGCTGGTTCCGTAAAGCAATGCTTCCGAGGATCCATTCTTAGAGTTGCAGTCCACGCATTCAATTTTGAAGTAATATCTAGTTGAGTTTATATGTTCACTATTATGAATTTTACATTAAATCAGTGTATAGCTCTTTCGGTGGGAAAGTACGCGAACAATTTGGGTAACACAACGATGTATTTCACATAAAATTTGACAAGCAAATGAAAATGACGAAAAAATTATTCATATCTATGACAATACACGATGTCATTTTCGGTCAGAAAATATCTATTCTCTGGTCACATTTTAATTCCAGTGGCTTATTCCTACAAAAATATATAAAATAAAATCGTAGTTATAGTTGTTGAGGTAGAAAAGTTACCATTTTTCTGAGAATAAAATATAGGAATAAAAGAAAATAAATTTGAAAAATAAATTTCAAGCCAACAAAATGGAATTGAGTAAATAAAAAAGAAATCTAAATTTACGTATATTTACTCGATGTCTTTATAAATCCCCCTTTGATTTAGTCCTTAAATTGAGACGCTGAAAAACATCGCGCAACATGTGCAGATATCAATCGGAGGCGAACGATGTCGACGTCAAATGTTTGCGGCGCAAAAAGAGCGCGACGCCACGCATCGATATCTCAACATCGCCGCCGCCGTCGCCACGACACACTGACATTTATATTCACTCTCGCAAAGAGTCACGACCAAACAAGTCGCAAAGCTCGCGCCTTCAGCCTTCGGGGCGGGCGAGATTGAAGCACTATATTGACAGAGATCTTTACGACCGTCTCACGGTTTCGCTCCTCTTTTTCACGCCGCCGCCGCGTTTATTTCCGTGAATGCTAGAGCCGCGCGAGCATTCTGTGACGAGTGTCACTAAGCCTACCGGCTGCCAACTATGCGGCTGCTCAGATTTACGGCGTTTTAAATTGAAACTTGAGGCGTGAATACGACATGCAAAAGGAAAAAAATGTAATCAGGCTAGTGTTGCTTTAGTTTAACTTGGTGTAACTCGAGAGTGGAATAAGTCAGGGGCGGTTGCCTTTGGTAAAAATACGGGGAATTTAATAGAGTATAACAATATTTTTGTTTGGTTATTTTTGAATAAAAAGATCTTAAGTTATTTAATAATTTAGTAAAAATTGTATTTTGATAATTGGCAACAAAAATCACCAACTTGAAGTTTAACACAGTATAACTCTTAAGTAATATTACTTAGAGATAAAATTTTGCATTCAGGGGATGAAATATTTAATTAAGATTTATTACAAGTATAAACCATCAAATTTGAATATGTTTTATAAAAGTTATTTGAAAAATAATGAAAGATTACGTTTGTTGCATGATGAATTTGATAAAGTTTTATGTTTATGTAACGATAACTTTTTATTAAAACGACTCAATAGTTTTATTTTTAAATGAAGCGATAAAAAATGTTATTAGTTTCCATAAAAGCTTTAAATTGCGATTATATCATAAAGGAATCGAAAGTTACGTAATGAAAACCATCAAAAATGAATATTTTTCTATAATTTCCATTTCGGCGGAATACTTTCAAGATCCCTGAAAGGAGTTTGGAAACTATAATAAAAATTTCAATCAATTTCCTTCGCACAAAACATTTTCTCCGGCAAAGGCCTGCGCTTGCCAATATTGCATTGTGTCTTTTCATTATCCTTCTTACTCGCAGCGGCCATAAAACTCCACGGTCAATTTGGCGTTATTAATTTTCCATTATTAGCATTCGATGGACCGCGAAGCTTTCCGCTCGCCGCAAACGAACTGAAAACTGCCGCGTGGCATTGTCGCGACTTGATGATCCTCGAAAATAATGCCCGCCGGTGGAGGTCAGCGCCGACGCGCGTATTATCCGAGCGTCTTCATTCTCCCGCCGCACACCCACCCCCGCAAACTCAATAAGGCGGTCTCGAGGACTTTTCAAAATCGGATTTGAAACCTCAGCACTGAGATTATTGCCGGATTCGCGAATCCCTCCGCCGCAACGGGCAACGCCATAGCCGCTCCCGAAGGAGTCGGCTGCAGTGGTGTAGAGAAAGGTCTTGTAAATCCGCCTCGTGGGAATAAATATACTGCGCGTATATAGTCGTATCGCGGCGTGATGCTGCAGGGCGGTGCGGGGGCGTCGGACGGCGGTGCAGTTTTGCTCTTTTTGGCGGACGTTATCCCCTCCAGCAAGTACGTATTTCATTGTTACAAGACGATAATATGAAGATACAGACAGATACGGCACTCGGGGGCAGCGCTGACCGCCGCAAATAAAAATGAGTATAAAGGATTAGAGCTACAATTGTATCAAAGACGCGTTTCTATCTAAATCTTTAGTTTCAAGCGTGAATTTCAACTTTAAAATGCGATTAAGGGAAAACTATCACAGATAGCGAAATATTTCTTAATTATTTTTGGAAGAGCATTTTATAAACTTTAATTTTATGCTAATTTTAATTATTTAAACAATGAACTCTGGGAGTTATTAACAAAAATATAAATTATTGAATTTTTTATGAATGAAATTTGCATTTCATTAATGTTTTTCTTTTATTTTATGCCTAAAGTGGTTATTATGACCTTAAATATTAATTTTAAACTAAATTTTAAAAAATGAATTGATACCCAGTTAAATTCTTTATACTCCAGCATAAAAATTAGGTTTCTAGGGTAAATATTGAACCCTGTAGATCAAATCAAAAATCACCCCGACAAGTCAATTATACCTAAAGTTGACCGATAGCAACATAATGAAATATCTGTAAATTTATGGTGACTAAACACGTTTCTCTAATCGTCACTCGCTGATCAGCGCAGCGGGCAATCGTGTGAGGTGGCCCGGGGGTGGCCGAGGGTAGAGGACAGGCGTGCAAATGAAAATCTAAAGCCAAACCGGAGCGGCAAAAGCCAATTGAATCCGGTCTTTTGAAAATCCGTCTGCGCGCATTCTGAATTCGCTCGCTTACTCCCGAAATGTGTGAGGCTATGTATGCATGTGTGGGTGTGCGAGGCGGCGGAATGGGGACGCTCGCTAAAATGCGAACAATTCCGGCGAGCTAGTTTTGTTCGCGCCCATTGTGGCGAGCCGAAACGGATAGATCTATTGCACAAAACATCGCTACATACGTGTGTCGGAACGAGCGGCGAAATTGCTGAATAGAGCGGCGGTGGCGCACGGAGGCGGCGGCGGCAACTGCGACGCTGCGTTTCGATGTTTCGTGTGTTCTTTCGACCAACCGCGCGCGCGGCGTGAATGCCGACGGACTCGGTGTGCACTCGAATATCGAGCATAGTTTGTTATAAAATGTATAAATCTTTCGCACATTCGCGATGAAAATGTCGACATATACCATCTGTTCAAAGGTAAATAATCATATCATCAGGTTTGTTCAAATTTTATTTGATTTTTATTTTAAAAAATACTAGAAAATTGATTTAAAACATCATTTGAATTTATATGAGACTAAAATGGTTTTAAATATTTAAAATTTTAAATTGCACCGTAAATAATTTATTATATTTTTAAATTTTAATTTGTTATATTTTTCTTAAATTGCAATAAAATTTTGCCCTGTCAAAATGTTTAAATTTATACAATATTCAACTTTAATTAAATATCGCAAAAGACTAATCAACAAATTGGAAAGTGATGAATAACTCTGAAACTAATAATGATATAAATTTCAATCTAGCATCAAGTTGTAGTAAATTAAATTTTCCATCGAATTGATATATAATTGGTTATGAAAGTAAATAGAAATTAACTCAATACAAACACAAAAACACAAAATTTTATTTTTTAAAATTTGACTTTTTTATTTTCTGATTTTAGTTTGAAATAAGCAAAATAGTATTAAATATAATTTTTAAAATATTTTTTATTTGACCACTGCAATATCTAAAAATAGAAGCTGGAATCCCTAGCCTAGGATCTGGATTCTGGATTATGAATGTAATTCCATTGTAGCGCGATGACAATGCGCTCCCGAACGCATCGCCAATAAAATGTACAAAGCGTATAGGAAAGTGTTATTGTCGCCAGCTACCCTCCACCCCCGCCTTCTCCACCTCACTCTTTCTCATTCCAGTCCGTGCGGGGGTGGTAAAGAGGCGCACAATGGCACGCGCGCGATAAATATGAGATATATTGTGGCGCCGCGCGCTCTATGTTTAACTATAAGTTGTAATCCTCGTGCGCGCTCGCGCGCTTTCAATGCACGTGCCAATGCCGCCGAAATTTATATTGTCGGCGGCGGCGACGCGCGCGAACGCGATGATAAGGGTGCATAATAAATTACAGTTAAAAATGCCGTTCGCGAGCCAGCACCGCCGACTCGACGACTTTTTGTCTTTTCAATTTATACTCGTCGACGACGCGCATCCCGTCCTATGCAGGATCAACGGCATGAGTGTGGGCGGGCGGAGGATGGAAATGAAAGAGTGGTTTACACGTGTAATACTTGCGTAGGTATTACATGCGGATTTTAAAATGAATATTTTTAGTGAAAAGAATATGATGGGGTTTTAAAAAATCAAAAAAAAAATTAAATATCCAAAGATAATTTAGGGAAAATATTAGTTTTAGGTTTAGGGATAGAAAATTTTGTTTTATGGTTAAATAATCATGTATTGCATGATTTTTTTTTATATTTTTACGTTATTACACATTTTTTAACAAAAAACATTTTTTAATATTGCAAATAATTGATATATAAAAAATTTAATAACAACAATAAGCCGATTATTAAAAATCTAACATTATAGAAAGGTTTTTTTTTTTTTACTCTATAGTATTTTGCTATTTTTAAATGCGTTTTGTAATCACTGAATATACAATTTTAAAAC